TACCACATATAATGCAAACATACTGTCAGGCATATCTGGGTGCCCGACGTACCCCTTTGGTCTATTTCAACTGGATACTGCCGAGCATATCTGGATGCTCGACCTACTATTGTCAGACATATTTGGGTGCCCGGCCTATCCTTGTCGGGCATATTTGGGTGCCCGGCTCACCCCCTACACTACCATATAAACTCATTCATATCTCACAAAAACATCAAACAATACATACCACCTTAATAATTATCAAAAAGACAATCATTAAGCTATATCAATACTAGTGGGACGGCCTTGGTGCCTTCGACCCATGGATTCTACGAAGGGAGACTCACCTCAAACGTAGAAGCTCACTAAAAGAAATCCCTAGTTGCTGCTCTGACGCCTTCCCGAGCTATCAATACTAAAATAACACCCAATTAGAAATTGGGTTCCCAACCCGAGATCCATAATCCATACTTGGGATAAAATGACCATTTTAACCCTGACCAAAACTGAAGCCCAAGCCCAACACCAAAAAGGTCCAAAACTACAAAATTTCAGAAAAGCCACTAATGGCCTAATTTTCCAAATTGGGCACAACCCCATATGGGCCTTATCCTAAAGCCCAACAATTTCTGGTCCAATAATAAATCTTTGATGGTCCAAAGACCCAAGCCATTAGGCCCACTAAAGTCCAAAACCATTAGGCCCACCGAGACCTAATACAAAACCTTGGCCCAACTAGACATGCGTTCAAGACTATAAATTCCTCTGACCAATAATCCAACACAAAAAGCCCAACCCCAAGCCCGAAGCCCAAACGAGAACAAACCCAAAAGCCCACAGCTGAACGTACGCGAGGCGTACCCCTAGGTACGCTCATCGTATTCGAAGATACAGATCGGGGCCTCAAGTCAGTACGCGGGGCGTACATGAACTTACGTGGGGCATACCTATTATTTATCCTAAACTCATATTAGGACTTAATCCGTTAAGTCCTTCTGTCAAAACCTAGGATACCTTCCAACTAAGCTATTAATGCATAAAGTCGGCAACTTTATTCATTTACATGACTCAATGGGACCTAATAACCATTTTAATCCATTAGAACCCAACAAGAACATGCATGGACCATATCTAAGCATCAAGCAAGAATTTTTATGAACTTATGACCTTAAAACTGCTAAGAGTGGCAACTCAAAGCTCCTGGAGTGGTCTCCAACCACTAGATCTCACTCTTGAGGTAAAAAAAAATGGAACTAAAACCCACATAATCTTAGATCTCAACTTCTAATGAGCAAGTTAAGAACTTTTTACCTTTTATGAGTTGAGAATGTAGCAAATAGTCCAGATCCACAAGCATTCTCCTTGATTCACCACCTTGCACAACACTTCCACTCTTGAATGTACACCAAAACCCACCAAAGATGCACATAAAAAGGCTCACAACACTCTTGGATGAGGCTACAGCTCGAGATTAGGGTTTATGACAATGGGGGATGAAAGAGAGGCTCACACCTGCAACTTAAGGTGTTTAAATAGTGAACCAACCCTAAAAATTTAGGGTTTTGCGATCCTGCACGTACGCTGGGCGTACTATCTGTATGTTGGGCGTAGAACTCCAAACCTCCCGCATCCATTTTTCCCATCACTACGGTGGGCGTACCCCAGCTTATGTTTGGCGTACTCACACGCATGCCACCTTTGCATGCATGGGACCGGAATGCAAACTTTTTCCATCAAGGGCAAAATCTGCCACCGACTTCAAAATACCATAACTCCCTCATACTAGATCCGTTTCCAAACGAATCTTATATCCATGAAAAGGTAGAGAGAAACGATACTCTTCTAATGACACACCCAAGCCTTTAAACCTCCCGAACAAAACCAAAAAACTCAAAAGATCAAGATATCACATTACAATTATACCCTTGGCCTCCGAAGACACAATCGAGCACTTGGATCACTTATATCATGCCACCCACCTCCGAGATGGACCAAATCCTTTCCTTCCCAAGGCCTTAAGCCTTATGACAATTGATGATTGGGCCACAGCCTCGATTAATGAAGCAAATCCTGAACCGAGTATTACAAAATAACAACATAGTTTCATTTATTTGTTTATTAAGACATCCTACTACCATTTCTTCCTATTGTTATACATTGAGACATCTATCCCATAATAGTAAGATACTCCAAATTCAAAGTATTTTTTTACAATATATATTTTTCGTAGTTTAATGTCCTAATAAGATAAAGATTTGAAAGTACGATGCTACAGTAGGTTCATTTTTAAAAGTACAATGTCTTGATGAGTTTTTTTTAGGTACAATGTTGTATAAAATGAAATGCAATTTCAATGTTATAATAATCAAGTACATTAAATTAAAATTCTATAATAAACAATTAGGTAAGAATAACTAATCTTTCAAAGGGGCACTTGACTCAAATACTTACTCTCAAACCTTGAACTCCACATAACGATGATTTCATTTAACACCCAATCCGGAAATGGGTGTTTATCATTCCGGTTGTTCTATATATAAATCATAAAATACATTATAATTTAATAAAGAATGTTTAACATATTAGACAAATTGCACAAAGATTTAATATACTTACTTTGTTTGGGAATTCATTTTGTCGAGTCAACACGAACTCAAACATCCATCTCACGACGTAAAAACCGCACTCCCAACCTGATGGTTGTTGGTTGCACTACAAATATGAACAATAAAGGATTAGAGAACTTTTACTTTGAACCTAGGTTTTTGATCTGATGATGGAACATGTTCCATGTTCCAGGTATCAGTTTTTATTAAAAAAAATTAACAAGAATCAGGTTCAGGGTACCCATGCAAGACGCCAACACTAAGATTACCATAAAGCCAAACATGCTACATGCATATTCATAATTTATAATTCACATTAGTGGTCTAAATACAAAAGCATGGATACAAACCAACTAACAAGGTTTTTACAAAGTTTCATAACTAATTGTATAAATACATAACTACACATGAATTTATAATACATATACATACATGTATACCAAGTACAAACATAGTAGTGTCAACTACTCTAAATCCTCCAACAAAACATGTATACTCTAGATGCTTATCACTTGAAATAGTTAAACAATGAGTGGGATAAGCGGGCGCCGCTTAGTGAGTTCAAAAATAGATACAATATAACGCTATGCCATACATATAAGAATATGACAGGAACAAAAAGAAACAAAGGACAACAAAGGCTTATATGTGTAACAAATGAAGGGCTTTCCAAATCAATCAACAGTTAGATTCAAGGGATTACAATCAATGAGACACAATAATTTAGGATCATAAACATCATAAATTCTAGCCCACGTGGCACATAAAACACAATCCCTTTTTATCATGTTGCTAGAATATACAGGCTTTCAGCCCTACCTAGCTCGAAGCCAATACCAAAGTGATACGAATCATGCTCTACATGGCCAAAGGCACAAAGCCAATACAAAAGTAATACGAGTCATGTTCTACATGGGAAAAGGCACAAAATCCAATATCAAGTAATAGCAACTGAAATCAATAACACAGAAAAGCACATTGCACATATAACACATAACATACAATTGTCCCTATATTGAACTCACTATGTTGTAACCGAATGTTGCGATAAAATTCCTCTTTTCTAATGAAATTACACCATCCTCAGGCCTTTAAAACCTTCAATTATACCCCTTAAGTGTGCTTGTAGGTAGAATCTAACTAGACACTGTCAACAGTTAGCGATCGTCGGCTCGGGAAAACGGCTCGAGTTCAACAATACGAGAGAGAGAGAAAGAGAGAGAGTTGTGTATTTGTGTAAACAAAAAAAAGAGGGCAAGCTCTCTATTTATAGTCTGAGATTTTGACTCTTGCTTCATGAGCCATAAAAGCTCACGTCGTGAGTTCGGTCCTGATCAGCCTGTAGACCCGCCATCTGCGTCCCTAGCTTCGGAAGGTATCTTGTTGACTCATCACGTCGTGAGAAATTATTGTTCATGTCATGAGTTTTTGATGAATCATACCGTAGACTTGCCATATGGAAACTATGCCTGAAAGGTGTCGATTGGCTACCTCACGTCGTGAGCCATACTTGCTCACGCTGTGAGCTTGGTCATACTAGGGTTTCTGACACATGTCAATCTTTCAGACAGCTGGATCTTCGGTAAATCATAACTTTTCTCTCAAAACTCCGTTTTTGATGAGGTTTTCGCCTATACGTTTCTAACGAGATAATTTACAACTTTCAATAAAAAATATATCATAAAAGATCTTCCAATAAAATCATTTTTACTTATTTCCAACTTCGACGTTATATTTTCGTTAATTCCGATAGTTGACTTTTTGATCGGAATCACATAAGACTTCCCCATCACTTCCAATACCTTCCAAATGATTCCAAACTTAGTTTTACTTCAAATATTATAAAACTATTTTGTTAGAACTCAACGTTCAAAACCATATCGAAAAATGGTGTTTTTAACACATATAATTCTATATTACTATAACTACCCACTTTAAACGTTTAAAACCAAATAATATCTAATAATAATCATTTTTAAACTAACAAGCATATGAAACATGATAATTGAACAAGTTTAGTAAAGTGTATGTTACAACCCATGAAGTACTTTTACCTTGACAAGTGTCCAATTCATTGGATGTGTTGTGTCGATATCTTCCTTAAGCCTTGCAACATCCCTAAAATGAAGATTAGGAAAAAATTAAAAAGGCCATAGAAAGAAATAACAATTGGAAATACAAAAAGATTTCTTACTCTTCGACATATTTCACGACTATGTAGTTCTCCACGAGCTTCTCATCCGGATTTTTTTGGGAATCCAAGATATACCCTGTGCCTTAGTTTGGGCAGATTACTAGCAACATCCAATGCAATCTAGTTATGTTAATACATTTTAGTATACACAATAAAGAAATCAAGCCAATAAAAAGTAGTAAGATTCAATACCCTTGCCAATAGGGTGCGACAAAAAACTATTTGTCTTTATGGAAGCGCATTGCATCAACAATGTAACTTACAACACCCTCGCGATTTGACTCGCATATCGGTTCCTGAATCACGCTCGGGGAAATGAAAGCACATTTGTTCACTTTATTACCACCACGTGTTTCAAACATTGAATGTAACATGCTACAAACCAGAAAATATACATTATAAATCAAAATACTATAAACGAAAATAATTTAAACATTGTTGTTTGTACTTACATTTGAAACCAAGTTATGACACTAATATCAAGCCATTTTTATTCAACAGACGTAAAATCCCCTCGGGGTAAAAGTACGTTTCAATTTTCTGAGCTCCAAGGATCCCAGGTTCGGCTTCAACATAAATCGCATCATCATGAGCTTCACGATTCATCAAACGTCTATACATTCTTTTCATGACCAAGGGCATTTTTTCTAGTTCGACTTGCTTATTAGAAGTATGTGGTATCAAACTTTCCTTTGTTGGCTTGGTCTTCTTCATAACACCCTTCGAGATTACTGGCATACTCTTAGTTATGCGAGGTTGCTTTGTTTTTGTTCAAACATTAAAAAATTGTTTGATTATCACATATTGGTACAACTTAACATATACATATAATAACTAATAAGGTCGGAGAAATTAGCAGGCCGACAACTACCGGTTGAGAGGAGCATCTTTTATCTTGTTCAACATTTGACTTGAACTGTGAGGACTGTTAACAAGTTAGATGTGTGCACAACATACTATTATACATTGAAAATGGAATAAGGTAGGGTTGAATTAAAATAGGAAACGAGGTCTGACATGGTCGGTGACAAATGAGGAAGGAGTCAGTTAGGCGGTGGCAGCAGGTGAATGGCGAAGTGCAGATGGCTTTACTTTTCAACTTGAGATTGAAAATTGGTGCACACCACCGATTT